CTCTTGACACTTTARTGACAGTGTGGTTTGTTTCCTGGCACTGACTTTATTTGATGATACAGATAGCAAAGCTCTGCTTTTGCACAACAGCTGTCAAGAAAAAGCCATTTTGCATTCTCAAAAGTCTCTATCCTTCCARTGATGTTCAAGATGCACTTCTGGAGCAGTTGGAGTATCTGGGAGGAAAAGCAGAGATGGATGTGAAGAAGAAGGGAACTTGAGTTGTTTTCTTACGCTGACACTCCATTCAGTTGTTTCCTGTTTTGGCAGTGAGTACATGACTACAAAACAGCAGAAGTTGAGTGTTCCTGCCAGCAGCTCTGAACTTCTTCTGTTATGGGTCATAAATTTCAAGGACAAACTATATTTTGAGCATACTGAAATTTGAGAAGTCTCATGTAATTCTTTAACCTGATACTAAAGTTTAGCTCATTGATTTCCCTGGCTCTGCTGCAGCATTCAAAAGAACCAGAATGAAAAAATCAGCTATTTCAGACATTGAAGCAGTATGAGGATGTGAACAGCTGAGTTGTGCAGTATTGCTGTGGTTTATTGACAGCAGTGCCTTCCTTCTGGGAACAGGCAGAATAAACACAGTGCTGAAGTTTGGAAGTGACACCAGTGGGTGGTTTTGTCCCTGCTGGAGGTACACACCCCAACCCTGACACCCATTCAGTGCAGGTGTTTCACTGAGCATTTACAGAGCTCACTTATCTCCCAGGATGAAGTGGATGCAMTAAAGGATTGCAGGATTTGCTTTCAAAGCCTCTCCAGTGAGGCATGTTGGAACTGGTCAGTGCTGAGAGACAATCCATAATACCTGTGAGCTGTGCTAAATGCAGGCCTGGGGAAAGTGAGCCCACTTTGCCATGTGTTGATATGATTTAAYAGGGCAGTCATGCCCAGTTTACATTCTCCTGGGGGGTTATTTCCGTGCTCCCAGCAGCTGACTGGTGTCACAAACCCTCTGTGCCACAGCCTGTTCCGAGTGCCTGGGCAGTGCTGAATTAGCAGGGGGCTTTCTAGGAAAACTGTGTTGCAAGTGTGTGATCTCTTATTTATTTATGTGTTTGAACTTGGTGTGATAGTGGTGTTGAACTTTAAACAAGCCTGTCCTTTCCTCTCCATGCTGTTGACCTCAGCAAGAAGCTTCACTTACCAGGCAACTGGTTTCTTTTTTTTGAAGGAGATTAATAAGCAAATCAATGCTCCATATCTTACTTGAAAGCAAAACTAGGAGACTAKATAAAATGTTTCTAAAGGGTATTAAAATCCATATTTATTTCACTTATCTGGCTAAAATTCTGCACTGCTTGTTAAGATTTGTGTTGTGTGATGCAATTGTCTGTTCATTTATCTGATCCTTAGATGACCTTCCTCTTACCTACAAGTTACATCCTCATTTCTTGTCCTTGCCCARATATCCTGATGTAAAGCTTAATGTTGGATAAAAAATCAAATCTTCCTTGTCAAAGTGGATTACATGAGCAGTTGTGTGCGTTATGTGAGGTTCTTTTGTTGGGGAGTGAGTTCAGGGCCTCAGTTTGCTCCCTCACATGCGAAATCTGAAGACCTTTCCCCATTTGTGTAAAGTTTATTGTGGGTCCTTTGGTACTTGCTGGTTTTCTTGTGCTCTTCTCTCCAGACCTGTGCAACCTCATTGAATTGTAGGAGTATTTCCATTGTGAAATCAGCCTATAGTGACATCTTGGGAAAAGAGCACCTTCCACTTGACTTTATCCTAACTTTTTTACTCTTCCTTCTATCACCATTTTTTTCAGTGCTAGCTTTAAGAGGAAGCCTTTTTCCTTATGCTATGATTACTTTTTTAAGTAAGTTCATATAATTTTTTTGAATTGCTTTCCTTAGTGTGCGTGCCTCAGTAGATGGATTGTGAGCACTTCTGTAACCCCTGATAAGATCTTGGCATTTGCTGCTTCCCCAGGAGCAGRACTGTTAAAATGACAGTAAATTGTTCTTTCTGAGCCTGAGCTCTGCAGGGTTGATGGTGCAGTTAAACTGTGATCAAATTGAGCCCTGCTGTAAGGCTTCCCAGGAGTCTGGCTGGTGCAGCTGAAGATGGTGAGACTGTGCCTTTAGTTTACCTTCTAAATACTGATACACAAATCTAACAGTGTTCTTGGATGGCTGATGGCATGGTCATCCTGTCATCCTGTGATCCATCCTCTTCCTGTGACCTTACCTAATATTTACTTGAATATCTTGGGGTGCATCTTCTCTTTCTGCTGCCTCAATGAGATGGGGAAAGTGTAGCCCAATGTTCTCAGAGCTGCAGRGAGTTCCCGTTTGAAGAGCAGGACTTCAGCAGAACTTCCTCTTTCCACCCCTGAAGTATTTGGGGTCCTTGCTTAGGGGACAGGACCTAAAACCAGGAGATGAGTTGCATGAAGTGACTCATGATCCAAACCCAAAGCATTTGACTTTGGAAAACTGACTTCACTTCTAGCCCTTCCTCTTTGAAGTTTTGTRTTGCACGACCTTTTAAATGAAATGTCGAGCTTCCTTTTTAGCAGGCAGGAACTCTGCAGTGTGACTGAGGGTGATTCAAGAAGGTGTTTTGTAACTTTGTAAATCCCTGCCTTCATCCACYACCTTCAGTTCTCACCACGTCCCTGGCTTGGAGTTCCTTAGAGCACAACAATTCCATGCCCTGAATGAGTCTGATTTCTCCAGTGTGGAGATCTTGTGGTACTGTTGTGTTTGATTGATTCTGTGATTGATTCTGAACCTGCTCTAACAGCAGTGGCTATCAGCATTATGTGACTGCAGCAGTACCAGGACCAGTTTTTGACACTTGTGGCCCACACAAGTGTGGCTCATGGCTGTTACAGGTAACTGGCCCTGGGTTGTTCCTCTCCAGTCATCTTCTCTGCTGGAGGCAGTTGCATTTCCACTGAGGTCACCTTCATATCCTGGAAGTGACCTTAGATCATTCATTTTCTTTGGTCACTTTACATGTTCTTGATAAAGCAACTTCTTTATCAAAAAAAAGCAAACCACCTCATTTTCTCCCATGATGCTGAGGAGAGTACTCCCCATCTGAGGTCCAGGCATGCCTGAAGCTCCAGGATTTTCTATTTTATCATGTTTATCACACTCAGCACTGGGGTTCTGGGTGCTGGTTGGGTTTTCATGTGAGGCAGCAGCTTGCCTGTTGCCATGTCTCGATCCCTCTTTTGGTACCATCCCACCCYCACCCCGTGCTTTTTCCTGTTTGTTGAAAAATGCTCCAGAAATACATTGCTGTTTTTAAATAGTCTGCTGAAGGCACACGAGTCACTTCTTTCTTTCCATTTTCTCTRTGCCTGTGGGAGTTCAGCATCTCCTAGAGCTCCATTATTCTCTAAGTACCTTTAGGCACTGTAGCATCTTGAAAAAGATCTGATATTTGCTGGTGAGGTAATATCCTCTATTCCCTGCACAATAAATTTTCATTTTCCATTTCTGAAATACTTGATGTTGGTGTTTGRATCAGTGGAACTCCTGGAGACTGGCAGGAGTTTGCAKGTGCACATACACTTGTATGCTTAAATGTAATATTTTTGTATTAGAATGCCTTTGCATAATTCAATTTCTGTAAAGGAGCACTTGATCCATTTCCTTTTTTAAAACAGGTTTTTTCAAATTCGTTGAACCTGTGAAACAAAACTGTGTATTAGTGCTGCTGCTAAATTAGCCTAGTACTTACAGAAAAATTCCTATGRGATCTTGGTTTGGWTGGCATTTTGATGTTTTTATAATAYGAATCCTAAGTGGTGGGGAGTTGTGTTGGTTTGGGTGTTAGGGATTTTTAACACACATTTGGGAAATGTGGTTAGTGATCTAGAAAACYGTTTTTTTCTAGTTCCCTGATTTTTTTTTTTCTCTTGTTAATCCTGTGCAGTACAGAGGAATAAATCCCTGTAAAGTACGAAGTCACCAACCTAGAATCAGAGGCAAATTTCTGAAAACACCCATTTTAGCTGCCTCGTGTTTGAGATATTAGACTGTGGCAGTCCAGATCATATTCTCCMGACTGCATTCTTCATAAGCAGAAATACTGGCAGCCATGTGTTCAGTTATAAAAAGCTGGCAGCTGATGTCAGGCCTTATTTCAGTGAGGAGCTGTTTCTGAATACTGTGCTAATTTTGGGCAGGTTTATGTAAATCAGARCTCTTCTCCTGACATGGAGCATTCAGTGTAAATTGGTACATGCCTGAATAATGCAGTGGAAGAGACAASCAGTGCTGCAGTGGATGGCCCACTTGAAAAAAATTTAATATTATACATGATTCYTTATATGCAGAACTGTGTCTACGCAGAATTTATTTACAACATGAAGTTCTGTTTCAACAAATTGGGACTAATGTCCAAGGACAGCAGAATTCTTCCAACTTCTGAAATTGTCTCAGATAGCAGAGCTTTTACATTCATCTGAACAAAGCCTGACTGAGAGAACCCTAGTGATATTTTTGAGATGCTGCATATGTTTTGATTGAGCATGTGGGTTGGGTACARCTGGGTTTGATCACTGCAGCTTTGTGACATCTTGCTGATAACTCAACAATGAAAGTGATTTTAGACAAATCACCTCTGTTTGTGTCTGTCTGATGCCAAGGGAGGTAGACAAGTTTTTTCTGTCACAATGAATGTTTTCACTGCTGCTCAATCAGAAGCAGGGCTGATACTTTCACTGGTGCTTATGTGGAAATGCTTTGGGACAGAGGTCCTGCTTCTTCAGGAGAGAGAAGGCATAAGGTCTGATAAATATTCTGCTACTTTGTTATGCAACCTAATAATATTTTAATTTACAAATAATGTTAGTGTTTTATTCCGATAAATTTGAACTTGATTTTTAATTTAAGGCCCAAAGTGCTTTCTTTTGCAGAATTCCCACATGTGAAGATGTGAAGTCAAACGGSTATTTGTCTTAAAATACTAATGATATGAAATTAGATGGATTCATATCTAACAGGGTTTTGTTTTTTTTTTGTTTCAGGACATCAGGCATGAAGCCAGTGATTTTCCATGTAAAGTGGCCAAACATCCCAGAAACAAAAATAGAAATAGGTACAGAGATGTCAGCCCCTGTAAGTACACTTTCTTTTCCATTGTTTGTAAGACTCTCGACCTCTAATGACTTAGAACAGTTATATGTTCTTTGTAAGGACACGATTCTGTTAGGTGGATCAGCATCCAAGACAATTCTCTTTATTAATACATTTATTTATTTCTGGGATTGAGGTACAGGATGCTGTTACATCCATAGGATTATAGAGCAGCATACAGTAGAGTGTATTTGTGGGCAGAGGTCTTGGTTTACCTTTGAGTTTTTTGCTAGAGGAGAATGGTGGCTGGAGCATTTCTAGAATTGCAGGGGTGGTTTGTGTGCAGTGTTCAGTCAGCCCAGGAGGCAGCAGTGCTGAGGAGCAGTCTGGCACAGAGCACACAGGCTGTGAGATAAATGTTATCCCATAATTGGAGCAGAGAAGGAGCASAGGTGATGCTCCCAGGCCAGAGCTGGCTGTTGGAAATGCCTGTAATCGCATTGTGCTACTGGGAAATGATCTCTGAGCACAGATCCTGTGCACTCACAGCTCACTCTGCTGCTGCTGCAGCCTGGCTTTGCCTCTGGGATCAGGGATGTCACTGTGCCCTGCCCTCAAGCCTGGCATCCCTGAGTTTGGCTGCACAGAGTGCAGGGAACCACTGGGCAAAAATGCTGCTTGATGTATCTGCTGAGAAATAATAGTWARTGTRTCTGRTCAGAAATAATRSTTAATGTRTCTGRKCAGAAATAATAGTTWWTGTWKCTGRTCAGAARTAATAKTTWWTGTWKCTGSTSAGAARTAATAKTTAATGTRTCTGSTKAGAAATAATAGTTAATGTATCTGATCAGAAATAATACTTACTGTATCTGCTGAGAAATAATAGTTAATGTATCTRAWCAGAAATWATAYCTCATGTACCTGGTACTGCAGGGAGCTCCCAGGAGGGCTCAGAACAGCCCTGCAAACTTCTGCTTAAAAGTTACTGAAGCCTTTGGGGCAGTCAACCAGAACAGTCATGTTGCTTTACTAAGCAGTYATAGTATTTGAGGTTGTGAGTAACAAATTCCTTCTTGCCTTTAGATAATCCTGCTTCCAGTCTGCTTGCTGTCTTGCAAAATGTGGGAAGCCTTGTATGTGTTGAGTTTTTTTAGTTGGTGGTTTGGTTTTTTTAGTCCCAAGTCAAGCAAGTGACTAACAAAAGAGAATTTACATTTGCTGTATTTCTTGAATTGTTATAATTTTTTCTGTACATTAAAGGGTGGTTGGGTTGGGAGCAGAAGCTAAATRTCTAAAAGGTCTCTGTCCTGTTTGCCCAATATATGTTTAGACAAACCTTTAACAACCTTGAACAAGCTGGATTTGAATGTTTAAGCTGCAAAAGATAAGCAGTGGTGTAATTAGATTTATTTAACCAGCAAGTCGATAGCTGTATAAATAGGTCAGAGTGATCTGGTTTGCAAATTGCTGTGGGGTTATTCCAGATGCAAAGGCCTCACTCTTGCCATGGAGGTGGAAGGTGAGGTGTGCCCTGTGTTCAGTGCTCTGGCAGTGTTGTGTTCCAGAATCACAGCCCAGGGAGCCCCTGCCCTGTGTGGGATTGAGCTCTTTCCATTCTCCAGCACAGCTCAGCTCTTTGGCCCTGCCATCTGCTGAGCTTGTGCATGGATTGTGCTGTGTTGCATTGACATTAACCTGTGTTTTCTGATTRTGCTGCAGTTGATCACAGTCGAATTAAGCTAAACCAAGGTGAGAATGACTATATCAATGCTAGCTTGATAAAAATGGAAGAGGCCCAAAGGAGCTACATCCTTACCCAGGTAATTGCTGGCAGTGGATAATAAAATCACGTGGTGTCTGGAGTTGTTTTTCATAGGTTTTCTGTTTGTTTGCTTTACTGTAAAGCTACCTAAGTGCATATAAACATCTGTRTGTGTATAACAGTCACTGCTTTTCCCTGAATCTGTGTATTCCACGCCTATTTGTGTAACAAATTTAAAAGTACCCTGATACCCTTGTCTTACTCTGAGAGCCAACAACTGTGCCAGGATTCTTGTTTGTCCTAAACATTCACTTCCCTGGAGACTGTCCCAATCTCTAATCTTGGTGCTTTTTTTACCCYTTCCTCCTGCACTTTAGATAAAGGTAAACTGGGATTCATATTTTCAAGTGACAGCTCTTCCTTCCTGTTTYTAGAGAATAAAGATAAATCTTCTCAGGAAGAAATGGGCAGTGCAGTGTGCAATGTGGAAATGGTTCTTTGAACACAGTTCTCATTGCTCTTAGGACAGGGGAGGTTGGTCACAGGGGTGAACTGTGTGTGCAATACTCAAATGTGCAGGACTGCTACTGGTTACCTGCTCTGATCCAGAATTTAATGGGTTTGATGCTTTATTTAAATCCAGTCATTCTTTCTGAGGACCTGCTGTTCTGCTTGAGCCCCGGAGTAGATGGATGGCAAATTCAAAATTCAGAGCAGTAGCTTTGGAGTAGAAAATAGCAGAAATAGGAAGTTACAAGGAATTCAGCTTTGGGAATAGATGGTAGTCTGTAAAAGGAGTTAGCATTTCATTCAGTCCCAAAGCAAATCTGTGAAGATTCTGGAAAACCATATAATTTGTTATTGATCTGGTATCATTTCAGTCTTTTGAATATTTACCATTTAGTCAAGTAATCTTCAAGTGTCATGAATAAGGATGAGGTATTGCAGGGTAGTTTGRCACAGATCTTATTTCTGCTTTCAGTCAGTGGGGTTTATTACCCCATGAYCTTTGTATACCTTTCCTAAGAAAATGCAGCATTTTTCACTCCCAATTCTGTTCTCATGATTGAGACTCTGTGTCTCTTCCTCGTATGCATGGGGGGAAAGATTACCCATGCTTTCCTGGGTAAATTCATAACATGGAATTTAAAGCTGTCTCTGCATTTTTTACAGTTTTAAATGAGAAGTTGCTTGTTGCTTGTCTTAATCTATTGCCTTGTGCAGGGACTGTTACTGGGAAGGGTGCACTGGCATTTACAAAAAGTAATGCTTCTTTCTGGGATTCTGTCTCTGCAGGGACCTTTGCCAAATACTTGTGGTCACTTCTGGGAGATGGTTTGGGAACAGAAAAGCCGTGGTGTTGTCATGTTGAACAGAGTGATGGAAAAGGGATCTGTAAGTACTCACCCAGTTCTTGCTATGTGTTCATCACATTGATGGTTTTCTGTMATAAAAAACCCAAGTAAAACCAACCCAAAGAATGGGATGGGATGACTGTAAATAGTTTTGTCTAAGAAGTTGTGCTTGGGATTGAATACCTGGTRAACTGGTACAGGCAGAAAATCACTCGGTTTGTAATTGTAGGTCGTAATTTCTTGTGAATTTGGCTAAACCACATTGCACTGTGGGTGCAGACTCTTTTTTGTGCTGCTGATRAATATTGTGGTTCCAGGCTTTTCCTGCACTCTTCAAAAAGCTGCTTTTCTATTTGSTTGGCTCAGTTAAAGTTCTGGCATGCAGCAGTCTTTGCAGAATTCATCTCTCTGGGAGACTTTAATAAGAAAATTGCAGTTCAGTCTGTAGTAGGTAATGACATTTATGTCTCATGCTTGGTTGTAGGTAAAGTGTGCACAGTACTGGCCACGGAAGGAGGAGAAAGAAATGTTTTTTGAAGACACAAACTTGAAACTAACGTTGATATCTGAAGATATCAAATCCTACTACACAGTACGACAGCTGGAATTGGAAAACCTGAGTGTGAGTACAGGATCTCATCCTTTCTCTCCTTGGGGTGAAATTCATCTCCTCACCAACAAGRGCTTGACATTGGTGGTCATGAATTGTTCTGGATTTGGTGATTCTGCATCAGAKGTTGTGGAAATTGAACTCTTAGGTTTTTATGAGAAATACCTGGGGACACTCCAGGCAGTTTCATGTCTCAGCCATACCCAGAGTGACACAAGCTCTTGAGCTGTGCTGAAGTAACAAACCATAAATAACTAAAATTGCCTACACAATTCCCATTGCTCCCAGTGGAAATCTTCACAAGAAGAGATAATTACTTGTAATTAGTTCCTTGGCTGTGCAGCTATAGAAGCTCCCTCGGACTGGTGGAACTTTGTCCTTGGAATTTAAGCCGCTGTTCCTTCTGTCTGGTGTATCCAAACTAAAAGAGTCCCCAAACCCTCTTTTTGCAGAGCCAGGAAACTCGGGAGATTCTGCACTTTCACTACACCACCTGGCCCGACTTTGGCGTGCCGGAGTCGCCGGCGTCGTTCCTGAATTTCCTCTTCAAGGTGCGGGAGTCGGGCTCGCTGAGCCCCGGGCACGGCCCCGTGGTGGTGCACTGCAGCGCTGGCATCGGCCGCTCGGGCACCTTCTGCCTGGTGGACACCTGTCTGCTGCTGGTAAGGGTGCCACAGCTCCCTGGGGGTGCTGGGGTGCAGCCTGCAGGGAGTTTGGGGGACTGGCACAGCTCCCTGGGGGTGGCACAGCTCCCTTGGCCTGGCACAGCTCCCTGGGGGTGCTGGGGTGCAGCTTTCAGTGAGTTTGGGGGACTGGCACAGCTCCCTGGGGCTGGCACAGCTCCCTCGGGCTGGCACAGCTCCCTGGGGCTGCTGGGGTGCAGTCTGCAGGGAGTTTGGGGGGCTGGCACAGCTCCCTCGGGATGGCACAGCTCCCTGGGACTGGCACAGCTCCCTTGGCCTGGCACTGCTGCACTGGAGTGCAGCTTTCAGTGAGTTTGTGGGGCTGGCACAGCTCCCTCAGGCTGGCACTGCCCCCTCGGGCTGCTGGGGTGCAGCCTGCAGGGAGTTTGGGGGGCTGGCACAGCTCCCTCGGGATGGCACAGCTCCCTGGGGCTGCTGGGGTGCAGTCTGCAGGGAGTTTGGGGGGCTGGCACAGCTGTCTCGGGATGGCACAGCTCCCTGGGGCTGCTGGGGTGCAGTCTGCAGGGAGTTTGGGGGGCTGGCACAGCTCTCTCGGGATGGCACAGCTCCCTGGGGCTGCTGGGGTGCAGCTTTCAGGGAGCTCGGGGGGCTGCCAAGGGCTCCCTCCCTGTCATTTCCCCTTGTCCTCCTCTTTTGGGAGGGTGTTCCAAGGCAGATCTCGTTCTGAAGTGGTTGTTTTGAGTCTGGGGAAGAGAAGTCTCCTGTTTTCAGTGAAGAGAAGTCTCCAGTTTTTAGTGATTCACAAAGGCAAGCTTGCCTTCAGGGGAAGGAGGCAACATTTTTGAGGCCCACTCAGTGTTTTCCCCTCTTTTTGGAGACTCTGTAATGAGCTGCTGATACCATTTGTGTCTGATACCATTTGTGTCTGATACCATTTGTGTCTGATACCATTTGGGTGCTGTGAAGGCCCTAGCACAAAATGAGCCATTGTAGTGAACCTCATCAGAGCACAAAACATGTTTTCACATTTTTATCTGCAGATGGACAAACGGAAAGATCCTTCTTCTGTGGATGTAAAGCAGGTTCTCCTGGAAATGAGGAARTACAGGATGGGGCTCATCCAGACTGCAGATCAGCTGCGCTTCTCCTACTTAGCTGTCATTGAAGGGGCAAAATTCATCATGGGAGATGCTTCAGTGCAAGTGAGTGCTCCTCAAAGCTCCCAGGGAATTGCAGCCAGGGGGTGGGAGGAGCAGGATGGAAAGAAGCTTCAGATTTGGTGCTTGCTTCAGCTTCAGTCC